TAATATTTTAAAATTAAATTAATCTATATACGCACCCCATCCACCCAAACCCTTATTATTTTCCCCATCATCTCTCTACATTTCTCTCCCTTCTCTCTTTTATTCTTTTACACCATCGAAAACACGCGGCACTAGCGCAACTGCAACATGACACCTCAGCAACACGAACGGTGGCATCATCCCATGTAAGAAGATCTGAGAGCTTCAGGTGGTTTTCACAGTGGCGATGTCTGGCTTTGATCAAATCCGCTTTCAGTGGTTTTCATGTCGTCATCGTAGCGGTGATGAGGTGTTGCGGTGGTGAGACTCTGGCGATGAAAGTGAATCTGCTTGGAGGTGTGGTGGTGGTGTTGATGCTATTTTGGTGGTGGTAGTGGGGGTTTGCGGGTGGTTTTTGTGTTGTCGGGGTTTTTGTTGGTTTTGCAGTTAGAGGTGCTGGCAGTGATGGTGGATCGGCGGCGATGAGCATGTTGGATCTGGCAACGGTGAGCGTGGCGATAAGTTGTTGAGGTTTTGTTGGTGGTGCAAGTGAAGGTCGTGGTAGTGGGGTTGGCGGTAGACGATGGTGATGGTGGTGAGGCGGTGGTGACCAGTGGTTGGGTGCGGTGGTGGCGATGGTAACTGGTGGTATGTACGGTGGTGTTGCTGGTGCGGTGTGGTGTGGTGTGGTGATGGTAGTGTTGTAAAAATGGTGGTGGTGGTGACGGTGGTGGTTGGTGGCGACAATGACTGGTGGGTACTGCCCGTGACCAATTATTTGGTTAATCTATGACCAAGTATGGGTGGTGGATCTGAATCGAGGATAGGGTATTTTGGCGTATATGATCAATTGTTTGGTTAATTGTGACTAAGTGGTAAAATGTAGATTTCGATAATTTTTGACAAAAAAATAATGCATGACTTAAAAAATTGTTAATATGTGACCGATAATTTGTAATTGTTTAATAAGTTGTAATTTATAATACTTGTGATTTGTGATCGATAAATAAGTTATGACGTATATATTTTTTATTTATAATCGATAAATAAATTGTGACCTATAAAGTTTTTGAATTGTGACTATAAAATAATTTGTGATAAAAATTGTGATGTGTGACCAAGTAATAATATGTGACCAATTATATAGAATTTATGATCAAATTATATGGAATTATAACCTTAATATATTTAATTAATAAAATATGTTTTTATTAATTATATAATTTATAAAAATGTGAGATTTGAAATTTTGAATCTTAGGCCTTGTATGGGAGGGATTAAAATCGGATTAAAATTGAAAATATAGCCGTTATTGTTGACTTTTATTAGACGAGTGAGACCCAATAACGGTCATATTTTCAATTTTAATTGGCTTTTAATCCCTCCCGAACGGGGCCTTAAACTAGTTCAATATGATATTACAGCTATTTGTTTGATTGAAATTATCTATCAGTATG